AGAACACGCGATAATCACTATTCACTTATGGGGTGTTTACTTATTCGCCCGAGAGTTTTAAAAAAAGTTTACTGGTCTAATTTTCATTTCAGTTGATGTGGGAGCGCTGCCTTCGGGATTGTCTAAAACTAATTTATTCCAGTGGATATCTCTCCCGGTGTCATTTCCACAACGCAGATATCGATATATTCCGTTGAGATTTGACGAAACAGCACACGTTTTGTCATACCACCAGCCTCCGCCCCTTTTTTGGGCACAATCTGCAGGATCTCTATTCCAGGTACCAAAATCAAAATCTCTGTGAGGACCAAGGGAATCAGAAGAATCATTCGCATCTGTTCCTAAATAAAATAAAGAAGTAGCATAATTTCAAGATCCAGATAGCGCCTTGGAGCCTAAAGATTAATTTTTGACTTAAAAAAAAAAAAAAACAAGCAGACATACAGCACAAAACTTAATTAAAAAAAATAGCGACATGCTGTTTCGATGAAATATGTTTTTTCTGAGCATCACATTGTGCTGATTCGATCTAGCGTCCTGGGTGCTTATTTACTTTTGGTACTTCGGGGTAGGGTGCTCATTCGAGGAGGGCGCTTATTAGGGACAGGGTGCTTAATTCTTTTTAGAGAGGCAGCAAAGCTGGAAAATGGACTTATTGTTCCGAGTGGATCCTTTATTGCTTGAACGACTAGCCAAGCGATCATCGCAAAATTTTTAAGAAGGGATCTTTCGATTACAGGAACAGTGGACTCTCGGCGACATAATAGTTGAGAAACTGAGAGGAAGACCACTTTTTTGTCGTAAGGCTTTGGGCGAGTAATTAATGCAAGATGGGTCAAGGCTGATCTCAATGGACATATACCCTAAAAGTACTAGTTCTATTATTGAAAAAGAACAGGGGCTTTTCTTGCAATAGGGGCACTTATTGGAATGAAGGTGCCTACTGAGTAGGAGCGCTTTGTATAGTGAGGGCGCTTATTTACACATTAAGTTCGAGGGCCTTGGGGGTAATGCTTAAAATTGATTCTACGAGGTAGGGAGAAAAGTCGAGAATTTGATAAAATCCCGCAAGTAAGGTAACTGATCAAATTCTAATATTTTGCTATAGGCGAGTTCAACAACTGTTTTATTGCCAACAGCCTCGGATGCAAACTGTCAACGGAGGAGCATGGGCTTAACAGTGCACGGGCAGAATTAACAGGAAAACATAGTTTAACGGGAATACGTAAGGAAAATAAACATTGTTTCCTGGTTAAGAAGGGGTAAGGGTGGCTAGGGGGGAGGGGGGAGGGCTCTCTTTTGTATGAGGGAAGTAATATATAAAATATAAATCACACGATAAATGGTTAAAAAAAAAAAAAAAAGAACTGGTTTAATTACTTGTAATATTGCCAATGTACAGCCGGTACTCTACCATCTCGGTCCCAATCCCGAACCAGTCATACTCAGCGTGAACAGTTTTGCCAGTAATTGCTCCCAGATCTACTCGAAGCCTGTTATACGTCTTGTTTCGCGTTAGGCGGTGTATCTTGTCCAGGCCAAGCCAAAATTCACCGACCAAATTACCAAAGCCATGTTTGTAGTCATTCCAGGTGCGGTTAAAATCAACGGAGCCATCTAGTCTTTTCTGAAACACTTCCCACCCCCCACCGGCTGTTGTTTGGTCACAATATACATTGAAGGCACCTGAACCATCTGGGTCGATTGCATAAACACCGCTGATCCTTCGGCCGGATTTGTACAGCTCAGCACAGTTTTTAGCTGATCCAAAAATAACAATAAGAGTTAAAATGAATAAATGGTAATAAAGGTATCAACACACATGATCTTAGAGAATCTTACTTACGTCTCGCCAATGTTTTGTTCTCCATGAGAATGTTAACCTCATATCGAAGTTCAGTGATTTCCTTGATTATTTCTTCCAAGCAGACTGTAGTGTTATTTTTACAATCTATTGGGGCTGCACGTGTTGATGGCTTTATTTGAAGAGTCACAGAAAGTGCCAGAAAAAGCATGGCAGAACCTAAAGGAAAGAAAGCTGATCATAAGGTGTAAATTTACTACCTGGGGCAGATCCTGGATCAATAAGAGAGTTCGGATAAAGATCTACCGATTGCATAAATGCAGTCCTGAGAAGAGGATGAAAGAAGAAGAGGAAGGTATTTGAAGGTTGACAATGGTAGATGAAGGTGGATGTAGCTAGGTAGAGGATAGCAGATGAATAAAGATAAAAAAAGGAAATCATTTAAAGAGGATGAATGACAATGAACGTAGATAAAGGTGGATGAAGATAGAAGAGGGTAAATGATGGTCTTTTAAGGCAAAAGGATGGTAGATGAAAGTAGACGACGGTAAAGGAAGGTAGATAAAGGTAAATGATGTTAGATGAAAGAAAATGAAGGAAGACAACGTCAAATTTAGATAAATGAAAGGCGACGAAGGTAGAGGAAGGTCGATAAAGGTAAATGGTGGTAATGGAAGGTGATCAAGGCAAAACTATGGCAGATAAAGAAATAGGAACGTAGATGAAGGTAGATGTAGGTAAATGATTGTCAATTTAGGTTGATAAAGGATTATGAGCGTTAGGAAAGGAAAAACATGGTGAATCAAGGTAGATGATAGATGAAGGTAAGCAATTGTATATATTTGAAGGTAAACTGAACGGTTTAACAAAGGACGATAAAGGGTTATGATGGTGGATAAAAAGTAAATGATAGTAGATAAAAGTACACGAAAGTAAATAGAGGCCGGTGAAGGCAGATGAAGATAAACGATGATAGATGAAGGAAGAGTAGATTAAGATATGTAATGAAGGTACAAGAGAGTACATGATTTAATAACAATAATAATAATAATAATAATAATTATTATTATTATTATTTTTTTCAAAATCAGTAAAAATACAGGATAACGAACTAAATTAAGACAAATTAAGGTATAAATATTAAAACAAGTTTAAAAAGTCTCTAGCTGAGAGAAAAGTCTTGAATCTCTTCGGTATCAACAACTGTTCTACAGAGTAGCAGAATTCATCTTATGTCTGCATTATTTTGCTTCAGCTTCATTAAGCAGAACAGCAAATAAATTGACGATACATGATCGACGTCCTTAATAATAATAATAAATTCTTCCTTAAAAATATTTCACAAAAAGCAGTTCTCTAAGAAAAAAAAAAGAAAAATTCAAGTGGGAACTGAACCGGGGAGCGGCGGACTACGCGTATGACACTCTAACCACTCGGCCACACTGCCTCCCTAATTCAGGGACATAGCCATCATGCATTTTGTAGCAACATGCATGAATTCAATTACATCCTTTAAAATAAAAAAGGACCGGAAAGGATTTTTTTTTATGTGAAAATTTCATCAGTATTTATAGAATAAACAGAACATTACATGGCCGCTTGGGGATATGAATTTTTTCTTCTCGTGCTGAAAGTATCTCTCACGAGTGAGCGCACCGAACGAGTGAGAGATACTTTCAGCACGAGAAGATAAAATTCGTATCCACAAGCGGCCATGTAATTTCCTCTATTTATATACACAGCAAACTGTACGCCAAAAAGCTTTATGTCACATACCTTTTCCTCGTTGAGTTAAACTCGTTGTTATCTTATTTGGGTGCAATTCTTTGTTTTTATGCAGCCATACACAACCGAAAATAAAATGAGAAACTCTGCAGAAATTTTGTGGTGGCAAGCTTTTATAGACTAACTGGACGCCACCTAGCTAATAATCTCTTGTCTCTGCCTAGCCATTCTTCATCGTCGTAGACACCCTTTATGATATCAATATTATCGACGATGACAATGCCGATATCCTCTTAAAATGCTTATTGTGAAGTATCTTACGCGAATTTAAAGACGGCTTGGACGTCAATACCGAGAATGACAATGCCAAAAGTCTCTTGTCTCTGCCTAGTCATTCTGCATCGTCGTAGACATCCTTAAAGTGCCACTATGATCAAAATTTCGCATTGCCTTTTCTTTTCACTTCTGGAAACTAGAAGTAAGAAACAGTTACCATGCCAAGTTTATTCGCAAAATTCTCACGGGAAGTATGATTATTGCAACCTTGTTTTTCGTTTTTGGTCGCCCGCCATTACTCAATTCAAAAATGGCCGAGTGTGGCAAAAAGAGTTGGCACTAGTTGGAGCCGTTCGGAAGTAACGTCATATGCGCAGCTCGACCTAAAAAACGTGGCTAAATTTGTATGCCATTTGAAGAAGAATTCGAGGAAGAATACATCTCATAAAACGCCTAGAATTTCCGCTGTAGAATCTCTCACAACACACGAAGCACGATGCGAAAGTGCGCATATGGCGTCACAGGCCAACTCATGCGTAAAAGCGCCTTTCAGTTTAATCGCCGACTCTCGGTTGCGAGCTGAGTAATGGCGGACGGGTTTTTCAAGAATTTCGGCCAACTATATCAAGGCGTATTTCGTTTCCATCGACCTGAAAACTATCGCATAGTATAATTCTAACCATATTAACTTGATTGGCGATAAAAAATGTCAAAACCAGAGACAAAAATTTTCGTCGTAGTGGCACTTTATCAATATTATCGAGAATGAGAATTCCGATACCCCTTGAAAATGTTTATTGTGAAATACCTAAAAGATTACATGAATGTAAAGACGGTTTGGAGGTCATGTCAGATCTTTCGCAACACTCGCAATGCCATAATCGTATCACGGCATAGCAATATATAAAATGAATCAGACTTCAATGACCGTTATAGGGCAGTGACATCATTAATCCATCCATCAATGAATCATTCCGATGGATTGGTCGATATATCGATCGATACTTCAATTTCTGACGTCACGATATAGCTTGTTCTCATTACCAGAAACATCTGACAGAGCTGGTAAATTCGTATATTCAATTTCACGAGCACGTATCATAATCCTGCTTTGCACGCCTATGACGTCGGCCAACAAATGGCCTTGAGACTGACTGACGCGTCCCTCCGCGATTTATCGCAAAGTTCCTGTTTTGATTTGCTGCGAATTTTGAGATGTCCAATTAAGACGTGTTTTTTCCGTTCCATCCTGATTAAGAAAGACCTTTAGGAGCGTTGATTAAGAAAAAAAAGCTTTATGGAAGGATACTCGATTTGCAAAGCAATAAAAAAGGACGAAAAGAGCTTTCCATTAAACAATATACAATTCCCAGACGCGATACCGATAAGGGCAGGAAGGTGAAACCTGATTCAGTTTGCGGACTTTAGTGGGACTTCGCAATTTCAGAACATTCTTTGGTCTGGTAAATATAATTTTTAAATGTTGATTTGTCTTCTTCAACAGAATATTTCGATTTAAATCTTACTAACTTTCAGAATTTTCAAGACAACACAACATATCTACAGTAGTGGACATCGATTCAAGCGCGGTGAATTCATTTCGCGGATCGCCTATAAGCAAGAAATTCTGACTTTTTCGCTTCTATAAAAAGGTAAAATGCTTATTGTGAAATACTTAATTTGTCTTTGAGGTATTGTGCAACAGAATACTTTGATTTAAATCTTACAACTTTCAGAATTTCCAAGATCGATTAAGGAAGGTGAATCTATTGTGCGGACCGCCAGTACGGAAGGAATTCTGACTTTTTGGCTTGTAAATAACATATTCGGTATTTCTTTGAATGTAGCATTTTGTCTTGAAATATTTCTTCGTCATTTATACCTTGCTGTTTAGTTCTAGTATTTTCGATTGAAACGCAACACCTTTGAAAGATTTCAAAGCCGTCATTTTTCTCAACATTTTCTACTCTGCATTGTTCATAATATTCCGACGATAGACTTCCAGCCGTTTCACGCTTTAAAGGGACACTGTCACGGATTGATATGCGCAGGGACATACACTTTCTCCGAGACTTGTCACGCTCGACGGCCATCATTTAAATATCAGTGAATCGAATAATTCTGCATATATTTTGCATTTAAATCAAGTTTATCCAAAGCAAATGTTCCGGAAAGTGAATTTCTTTTACTGAGGAACTTTCGGTGATCTTTTGTAAATGTAAAAGTGCTTGTACGACGAAGCGCAAAGAAAATAGTTCTCGTGGGTGCCCGTGCAAAGGGACTCATGCCGAGAAATCGACGACAGTCAGCGGTTGATGTCGTGGGCGCTGCATATGCTAATGAGGGACTTTCACTTCTCAATTTCCACTTCAAAAATGCTTCTAATGGGGGTCTATGACACATTTTCAATTGAAATTAGCGTTTTTACAAATAAAGGATTACCATGTTTCGGAAGTCAAAGGACTTTAAAGATATTATTGAGCAACAGGAAAATGTAATTAACTAGAATTATGCACACATGCAAAATTCGTAAGATCGGAATCAAATTTAGCACACTTCATACGATGAACAGCTTCAGAACAGCTTCAGAACAGCGGAGATCGGCTAAAAATCTAGGTTACAAAGCCCTTCAAAGATGGCGACTATTTTACTTGTGAGTTTCAAGACAAATCAAATTCGACTAATTTTTTTGCTTACACAAGCGCTCGTTTCCCCAAAGAGGTCTATACCTGGAAAAGCATGAGATACGGCATTTTGTCAGCTATTTCGGCCGAACTCTAGGTTTTTGAGCTTCTTCGGTGCGCGTGCTTTACGCGATTTAGTTATAAGGAAGCACAGGATATAAGCAAGTAACTTTCTCTATACTGCAAATAGAATATCGAACAGCCAGACGCTGCATACCCTTTCCTTGTTGATTGCCCCTCATTGTAATTCTTCGGGTGTTGTACGTTTGCAGTGTTATTCACAAAGGCTGCAAAAAGATAGAGATAATCTCATGGTGACGACAGGTAAGAAAGTTCACAAGACTCTTCAGAAAAAGTATAGTGGTAAGGTTTTTTTCCGGAATGTTTTTTCTCGAACCAGTGCCTCCCAGTTAGATGTGTTGGGCGCTACTAACAACTGAGCTGCAAAGCGACATTAGATCATTTTATGTCATTACCAGTTGTGCCATATATATCCTTCCACGGGAAGAACCCTCTTAAATCGGTTTCGGTCCCAACGTGTGGCTTTGCGTATTTGGGAGGCACGGGTTTGAATCTCGTCGAAGACTGAAAATTTCTTTTAGGATTTTTCTTATGCTATTAAAATAGCACCCTACCATCGAGGATAATGGCTTTCTTTGATTTTAATCCAGGGATCAAATGAAATATTTTTCATTGCCAAACACTACTCATTTGCATAGTAAATTTAACTGCTTGCGGAAAACGTAGTCTAAATCCAGATGTTTTCAAAGGCCCATCTGATCAGTTGACAACACTTAATGCGACGAAAGTATCATGTTATCTGCAAACACCTTACGCATCTCCGTCATGACGAAGATTACTCTGAAATTACGCAAAATAACTACTAATGTAGTTTTAATGCAACATGAAAACACAGCCACCAATTGTTTCATCGATTAAATTAGCTCTCACAATTGAAACAACAAATGATTTACAACTAAATTAATTAAACAACTGGTCTTCATCTATCTGCCATTAAGCAGATGCCAAAAACTATTTGAGGATCTCGAGCTTGATTCTATAGAGTTGTCGTCCGTTGAGACGTTTCAAAAGAAACCTTTATTCTCGTCATTTGATTATTAGCTTTGAAAAACAAAAGCACATATCTTGGACTACATTTATGCCATGGCACATGGAAATAAAAGTGAACTGGACTGTAACGACAGTCAGAGGACCATGCAATCATACCATCAATCAAGCAATTAATCAGTCAATCAAGCGATCCATACACTATCAGTTTTTGAGGTCAGAGCATTTTATGAACTAACTTTCACATACATCTTTCACTTGACAGTCGAGGAACAGGACTTAGTCTTTCTAGTGGGTTTTATCTAAGTTTAAGATAGCTCGCCAAGATTGGAATCAGAAGAATAAGGAATACATATGCAATATGTGATTTTAAAAAGTCAACATTACAGAGCGATACGTCAGTAGCTCGATGCAGTACTGTATTAGGACTGAAAGAAATGCAACAATTCAATTCACAAGCGGCATTATTCATTACCGTATGGAAATCTAAAATGCTTATACTGAGACCACCAATTTAATGCTAAACAACTCTGCACCTTGACGCAGTGTTTTATGAAAAGCTATACTATCGGCAAAGCAATCATTAAGAGATGTCCATTGTTAATAAAAGTTTGTAAACAACTCTTATTGTATTTAAAACAGCTACATCTCACTTACCTACTACTCTTTGATTGCGTGGTATTACATGCAGCGTTTTCCAGAAAAATCGCAAAAATCAATTTTACGGCGTGAGGACCGACAAAAAGAAAGAAAGAGAACAAAAAGAAGAAACTCGTAAGAAAATATCACCTAGTAAATTTTACCAAAACAGATCGTAAATGCTAAGCGCACTCGCCTAATAAGGAATACATATGCAATTACCTTTAAACAACCTCGTTTGCACTCTGTACAAGAACTGAAAAAAGTGCATATGCTGTTGTTTTATGTACCGAAGAAATACACACCTTCCATAAATAACAGACCTATTTTGCTGTCAAATTGTGAGACGCAACAAGATATTTTTTATCTCTAGAGACAGAGCTTAACGCTTTGATTATATCAACAATGCCATGGGTGAAAGTCATGAAGACTTTGATTCTCAATGTTTTAGATGGTTGTTGGTCTGTCACATCCAAATTCTTGCCGAACGAAGTTCTGCGAAATATATTTTAAGAATAATCTATTCAATTTCAAACTTAAGCAGGGAAAGTTAACGATTTGTTAGACTAGACACTTTTTGTGGCAGTGATAGAAAACATTATTTACTGGATAAGTACACGTTTGCTCGAGAACATGCAAGTTCGTGAGAACTGCGTATAGTGTACTATAAGAGTTTAGGATAGGTTATCGATGTCAGTCTTGACATCCACGATTAAATAGTGAAAGTGTCAGGTAATTAATCTTCAGAGCTACAGAACAAAGGATTGTTTTATCTTTCTTGCTCTTTGATATATTGATCGTAGTATTTTCACAGCACATCAATGGCCTCCAAATGATGGATTTCCCTTCGTTAGACGCATGAATGGCGCTCAATACTATTAAGTTTCGCACAAGGAATCCCACATTCAAAATCTCAGAACATTATGTCTCAGTATACGCATAAATTTTTATTGACTCGTGAGCAGACGGGAAGCAACCATTTTAAACCATTAATCCATTAATGCAAAAAATAAAAATAAATGAAGTTATGGGAATCTAAAAAGAATATGCGCGTCAGGAGGATAGATAATAATATCGCTTCAAATTGAATAATCTCAGTCTTCTATTTATTCGTAAGATTTATATCAAAACTCGTCTCGCGAAGTTTATAACATGTGTTCCTTTTTTTTTAAATTACATGTACCCATTAAAATTGACACCAGTATCATTCTCTGTGTTATTGTAAGGTATCGATCCATCAAAGAATTGCATGTACAAAGGATATGTCTTGTATGATACAGGAAGGAACAGCAGTTCTCTTATTATAGAAATGTTGTCAGCTTTCAAGACTGCACAACAAGAACGGAATTAGAAAATTGTGAAACTCATAGAGATAGAAAGGTTAATTGTAAATTCAGGAGTTTGGTAACAATCTGATTATGAGATATCTTTTTAGACGCACGAAAGCGATTTTGGGTATAATGAGCTCAAATTAAGACCAGTAAAAAACTCAACATCGTTGAAAATCGGTGTCGAAAGCTCGCTTTAGTTTGGAAGACATAACGTTTCCTTAATTTTACATTGATAGTCGGTTTTGCCCGACAAGTCCGTTAATGGCGAACTTTTGGTCAAATGCAGTCCTCAGACTTTGTAAAGCAGAAAGAGGTCTCCTTGAAAAGCTCTCAAAAGTCTAAAGTCGTGTGCATAGCGACAATCTGACAATTCACCTCCAAGCAAAGGGGAAAAAGAGTAGACGAAAACATCTTCTGTTTCAAGCCATGTGAAATTTAAATGTTCTACGCCTAAGACAGAAAATGATATTCCACTTAAGAACGTTTGAAATGATTCGGTACACTGTGGTGGTGACAATGGGTTCTTTTTCTTTAGCAATATATTTATGGTTTCATGCTTGAACATTTACCTAGGATATAAAGGGTAAATTAACCAGACGCTTTCACACACAAAAAAAAATATTGATCGATCCATTGATAGATTGACCTCCTGAAGGACTGAATGAATAACTAGGTTAAGCATGTTAGTGGTCAGTCTTTCATTTTTAACAGTTTGAGGCATCCACTCATAAATAGTGTTCATAAATAGCTGCGAAGTAATTATTTTCCTCCACCAAACAATTTGATGCAATTTCTTTCAAAACTAAACTCAACGATGACGTGTAAAACACGAGATCGACAAAGACCTGACAGCATCCGCTTAAGGGAGAAAGAAAGGTGGAGAAATGTCGTCTACAGGAAAAAAATTCTTTCTAATGATTTTAACAGCTGTAGGCACCGTAACTGTTTGAGTGAGATAATGCATGATTTGATTGATGGATTGTTAGAAACTGATTGAGCTAGCAAAGGTTAGATTCCCCGGAAAATTGCCAACATTTTATCTCTTACCTTTTTCCCGAGTTATATTTAAGGTAAAAAGGTGTGGAATTTCGGTGCTTAATTTCTTTTATTGATTAACGCACAAAGTCGCCTTTAGATTCCTTTAATTTCATTTCTTTAGTTCTCGTTAATAGGGCGACATTGCTTCCCGTTTGCTCACGAGACAGTAAAGATATATGCTCACTGAGGCATAACTTTCTGAGTTTTAAGGCACCAAGGATTCCTTTATTGATTCCAGTATCTGAGAAAGAGCAAACATTTTGGTTTGTGACGTCTGCATTAAGGAGTTCCTGATAAAGGAACGGACTAGGTTAAGAATGATGACATTTCCATCAAGCTGTTATGCGGAGTGTGAAGGAGGCAATTTAAAAGATAATTCGATAATTGATCGAATGCACCCAGTATGAAGTACAGTCCTATTAGATTTGATAGAACCGTACCAAAATAATTTCTCCAAAGAGTTCCTTTTAATTTCTTTTTTCTTTTTGACGGTCCTCCCTGAAAACAAAAACAAAAAAAAGTTTAATTTCTTTGGCGTTTTAAGATAAAACTGGATACACTACCCGGCAATCAATAAGTAGAAGCTAAGTGACTCTTGGCTGTTTTGAAATCAACTTGCAAATTATGTACAAACTTACGCAATCACTGAGCATTGATCCAAATTATTACTTTTTCAAATGTAGAACTTTTCGTAAAACATTGTGTCAGTGTCCAGAACTACTGAATATTACATGCCTCAGTTCCGATCGTGTCTTAAATACATTCTAATGACCACTACAATGTGGCATGAACTGAGGTATCCCTTCTATACGATGCTGCATACTGGGGTATAGCTGTCATCAGTCATCAACACACATAAAACATATTTTTTACTTATCTCTCTTATTCCAATCTTCGCGAACTATCTTAATCGCAAATAAAACCCGTCAGGTAGACTCCTTCCTGTTATTTAACGGTAGTTTGGAAAAGCCGGAGGCCGGAATTCCACCGGAATATTTCAACGTCTGTTTTTTTCATTCAAAACGACTACCTTCGCGGTAGTTTGGAAAAGCCGGAGGCCGGCATTCCGCCGGAATATTTCAACTCCGATGATTTTCCGAAGAGCGTCGAGCTCCGAATATACTTCGATGATTAACCGGAAACTATCCGAGGGTCTCCGAAGCTACCCGGAGATTCTCGAGGAACAATCGAACCCCCGGCTTCATTTGTTTTTTTATCGACTTTCTTATCTTATCTTTTGTTTATTTTTAATTATTAACTTATCTACTTTTTAACGGCCGTGAAACTAAATAATAAACAGCAAATCATTCGTCATTATATGTTAACATGGTCAGCGTCCCTTTAATCAAGATCTCGATTATTCATTAAAAGGGTACAAAGAAAATATAGCAATGCCTAAGTCAGTCTGCCATTTATTCAATTACAATTCTGGGAAAGCGCTGCTTAACGTAAGTTATAAGCTCTTCCGTTAGAGATAGGCCTCCCTTAGTTCTCCTCAACAGACCTTGCAAGTGGCCTGTGTGGAACCAGGGACGACGTGTGCACAGACATGCTATGTTAATATGGTAGTATCTTATTTGTGCTCTGCCTAACTTCCAACATTTAAGAGTCTTTATGAAAGCTCCCTTCACATCCGTTACATTTTGAGATGTTTCCTTTTAGCTTCATTAAAAAGAAAGGATTAGGAGATTCAGGAATGATGGGTTTCGGCGGTAAAGGATAATCTTTGGTTAATCTTCGAGTATATTCGGAGCTCGTACGCTCTTCGGAGAGGTAAGCTGGAAACGTTGAGACAATTTAAGTTAGATTGTGTGACAAGTTAGAAAGATAAGTGATTGCGTGGTGACAACTTTTCGCTTGTGGTTTCAGTGTCGGTAATGGGATCAGTTAACCGGTCCATTTGTTAGCTGATATCGTTATCCAGGTGTTAGGGTGTGCCGCACGTACTGATAAGATAAAACCTGCCAAGATGTTTTGGTTGCTTTTTTCTATCCAGAAGGATAGAGACGTGATCTGTGAGTATAGTAACTAAGTGAAGAATAAAACCGTGAAGTTTGCGAAGAAAAGCCTGGTGTTTTTTTGGCTTTCGCAATAGAAAACCTGCAAGGTTTGTTGAGGAGGAAGAGGGATGCTTGTCTTTAACAGAAGAGCTTATCGCTTTTGTTAAGCAGTGCTTTCCCGAAATTAAAATTGTGTAAACGGCAGACTGACTAAGGCATTGCTATATTTTCTTTCTACCCTTTTAGTGAATAATTGAGATCTTGATTAAGGGGACGCTGACCATGTTAACCTATAATTTGACGAATGATTTGCTGTTTATTATTTAGTTTCACCGCCGTTAAAAAAATAGATAAGTTAATAATCAAAAATAAACAAAAGATGAGAGAAGAAAGTCGATAAAAACCAAATGAAGCCGAGGGTTCGATTGTTCCTCGAGGATCTTCAGGTAACTTCGGAGACCCTCGGAAAGTTTTCGGTTAATCATCGAAGTATATTCGGAGCTCGACGCTCTTCGGAAAATCATCGGAGTTGTTTTGATTGAAAAAAACAGACGGTGAAATATTCCGGCGGAATTCCGGATTCCGGCTTTTCCAGACTACCGTTAAAAAAAATAGATAAGTTAATAATTAAAAATAAACAAAAGATGAGATAAAAAACAAATGAAGCCGGGGGGTTCGATTGTTCCTCAAGGATCTCCGGGTAACTTCGGAGACCCTCGGATAGTTTTCGGTTAATCATCGAAGTATATTCGGAACTCGACGCTCTTCGGAAAATCATCGGAGTTGTTTCGAAATAAAAAGACAGACGTTGAAATATTCCGGCGGAATTCCGGATTCCGGTTTTTCCAGACTACCTTATTTAACAGTCAAGTGAACGAGTTCGTCAAATACGCTGACCTTGCTGATCGATAGATGGATCGATTGATTGACTGATTGATTGATGGTGTGATTGCACGTCTCTCTTACTGTCATTGCAGTTCAGTGCATCTTAATTTGAGTATGCCATGACCTACATGTAGTCATAAGATATGTGCTCTCGCCTTATCAAGGCTAATAACAAAAATGGCAGGTCTTAAAGTTTCTTTTGAAACATCGTAACGGACGATAACTCTCTAGAATCAAACACGAGATCCTCAAAGAGCTTATGAATATAGTTTATATCCGACCACTTGCAGCCCAGAGGTTGAATCACGGGTGCAGTGTAAGGTTGAGAACAGACCTCAGCATATCAGGCGCCTCAGGCGGCCGCTTCAGTCTATCGATCACGCCTTCCCACCCATCCCAACCCAGGTGAGGACATCCATCACACAGTAATCTCGTGTGTGGGAAATTAACGTCTCCTACCCCAACCCTGCAGGAGACGGGACCTCCATTTATTCGTCCCTATCCGAGAAGACTAGAATATCTAACCATTTCTTGATGCTATAGAAAGGTAGCAAATTCTTCTCAATTATTTTAAGACCTTGAGTGTTGGTCCGGCTGGGGCTCGAACCCTCGACCTCCCGCACAACAGTCCAGTGCACTATCCATTGAGCTAACCGGGAGGTGGTATCTGCTTAATGGCGGGAAGGTGAAGACAAGCTGTTTAATAGTTGTAAATCATTTCTTTTAATTTTGTGAGCTAATGCAATCGATTAAACAATTGATGAATTTGTAGCTCGTCAGAGTAATTTGAGAGGAGCAAACTCAGTTTATAGCTATGGCACGATATGCATAAGGTGTTTGTTATAGTCTCATAATACTTTGCACTTCCAAGTTTGAAAGAAAGTAAAATTTCCTGAAATGGTCCCTCGGTGAATGATTTTACGAAGAAAAGCTCCCAAGATTGTGAAACGCGTAATTTTCCATCTTCTTTTTCCTAGGAGCGAAGAAAAGGACCTGTCCACCTTCTCTATCTCCGATGTGGCAGCCTGATCAGATTACCTACCGTACGTCTAAATCCTCTCCCTCGATACCTGATATAAATTACAGACTGATTCAGCTTGTGACATGAACTTGATTTAATTTGTGTTGAGCTTTGCTAACTCGCACAGCTTCAGGTGACCTGGAAAATAACCATTTTTGCAAGATTGATTGATTGTCATTTGCTAAGCCACTAGGAAAATCGCTCCTGAAAACAGGCCGATGTTTGTCGTCTTTAGTCAAGAGTTTGTAATCTATAGATGAATGATAGCAAATGAGACTATTTCTTTGATTCAACAATAATTTTTAAGACTGTTAATCGCCCCTGGTCATGCAATAATGAATACATTTCAAGGAACATATTTACATAGCAATATCATAGCTATTCATGCAACTGGCGGAAGGAAATCAATCATTTGTAGGCCAGGGACGTATTTTGCAATGGCTACACTAAGATATTGAACAGTTGGAAATATTTAACGAAAGGAATTATTTTCATTAAGTTGCCTTGCATATCGGTTCTTAACACCACACAAAAGTACGCCTTATTATATCATTTCAGATATATAAGATTAACATATCCTACGCCTGATAAGGAACAATATCCCAATTTCTGTTTCTACGCTGTATGCAGTTCTCACGTGCTTGCATGATGTATTCAGACAAAGGTCAGCCCTAACGATTTCTTGTTATCCAATTAGGAATTTCATCTTTTCTTAAAAAAATCGTGTTATTCAATTAAGCATTTCTTCATTTACTGCCACGGATAAGCAGTTTTAAACGGGACCCTCGTGATGGCTGTTCTCCTTAAAATTGACACCATTAGTGCTGTCTCTGGATATAAGGGAAGGAATTGACTATTATGACATTTGTGCATAAAACTACACGCAAGGAGCAGTAGGTGCAGTCCTCGCACCCTATATAAGAACTTATCACCAAGATCGTCGTCAATAAACTATTTTTTCGCACTGAGGTGCGTGCATCCAAAGAATTACACCAAAAGAATTACAATTCGATACTCACAAGGAGCAGGTATGTAACATCTGACTGCTTGGTATGCAATTTGCAGTTTATCACGAAAGTTCTACACTTACGCGCTTAGATCTTATTCATTTGTACTTTTTCAAACAAAGCGCTTTCCGTGAAACGTTTACCCCATTTACTGCTACAGCTGTTCATTTCTGAGTTGCTTAGTCTTACCAACTTTTACCCCATAAGGTTTACACGCTACACTCAGTAATTTTGCAAACAGCAAGAATATCCCAGTATATATCATCACTTGCACGGGAGAGAAGTCGAACTCTGAACGTTTCGGAACGTTTTTCGATGGTATTTCAGAATAAAGAACGCCCAGTTTATCTGGCATATTCCAAGCTCGCGGTAGCCTATAACTTTCTTTTCTACTCAGTGTTCTGTGAACTTCGCTTTTCCAAACTACTGTGTCTCAGTTTTAGATTCCTTTTTTTTCGGGAAGATGGAAATAGCAAGTCAATGTCGAGTCAATGAAAAGCTAGGTCAAAAAATATATACAATTTATAAAAATGGGTTCCCTAAAAATTATGATGATAATGTTTACCTGATTCAAATTTTGACCGGTCTAAGATTTTAAGAACGAATGCTTCAGTCCTTTGAGTCCTTGCAGTTAGATTTTCAACTGATCAAATAGGCCTTTCAAACTCTCTGGATTTATGTCCTAGCTCTTAACAAGCAGATAGATTTACAATACAAAGGTGAAGCTGGGGCTCTTCAAGATAGACTTCATTTTTTTTTTTAAATCAACCAATCCTATACAAATGAATAAAGGCTGATAGTTTCGAAAGAAACTGTTTGGGGATGCGTCGGTGGGAGTAACGAAATAATTTGGATATATCAACAAAGTTGAAATGGTAAATTGGCCACCGTAACGATTACAAAAGCTGCCGTTTCGAGCGTTAGCCCTTCGTCGGTGCGAATGGAGAAACTTTGACGTCTAAAAAGGATAAAGAATTGTCAGAAATTTCCCAGGTATAAACAGGGCCGGGTGAAAAGAATTGACTGCGGTTATGAATTGAGTGAGCTCCTCTTTGGTAGAGGAGGTAGCACCGATACAGTCGCCGATGTAGCGACCGTAGAGTTCAGGTTTGGACCCGTTGTATTGGCTGAAAAATGGATGTTCGACAAAACCTACAAAAAGAATGGCATAGCTAGGTCCCATTTTGGTGCCCATGGCTACACCATTGATCGACATTCAGCACTACAAACGTCGCATAAGGAAGATTCCGACCGCATTCCATTCACTCTCACGTTTCACCCTCACAACCACTCAGTTAAATCCATCATTCTTAAAAACTTTAAATTACTTCAAAACGATCCAGAGACAAGCACTATCTTTTCGCAGCCTCCGCTCATTTCATTCAAACGCGACAAAAACATAGGCAATTTTTTGGTCAGAAGTTCTTTTCAGACTAATGACCAACCAGGCACTTTTAAATGCGCTCGTGCACGATGCAAAACGTGTCCTTTCATTCACAACACTGATAAAATATCGGGACCTAAACGATCCATTAAGATCACCGATCACTTCACGTGCACCTCCGCCAATGTAATCTATTGCATAACTTGCACTTATTGCAAAAAGATATACATCGGCGAAACAGGCAGAAGACTAGGTGACCGATTCCGAGAACACCTTCGAGACGTGGAAAGGAATGACAAGGACACATCGAAACCAGTCGCTAGACATTTTAATTTACCTAATCACTCTAAGCAACATATGGCAATCTGCGGTCTTTCCTTACACTTAGGTAGCACGGAAAGCCGTAAAAATCTTGAATAAAAGCTCATCTTTCAAACTGGCAGTCTAAATCCCACAGGGATCAACGAACGCTTTTCATTCCACTAATTTATTCGTGTTTTTCTCGTTGCCATGCTCCCACCAATAACGTAGCTACCTTTTCTGCCTTCTAAAAGCACACAAAACCCACAATTCCTCTATTCGCTCCGACGAGGGGCTAACGCTCGAAACGTCAGCTTTTATAATCGTTATGGTGGCCAATTTACCATTTCAACTTTGTTGATATATCCAAATTATTTCGTTACTCCCACCGACACAGCCCCAAACAGTTTCTTTCGAAACTATGAGCCTTTATTCATTAGTACTTGAAAGACTTTGGCGCCGACGAGAACGATTACGATAGAAAGACATGGGAATTACTGTCGAAGGTGATGCAGGCATTTTTGGAATTTGTACGATACCAGCACGAGGATGACATTCCCCCTTGTAAGAAACGCCTACTATTCGCGGATCAAAAGTCCACGCCCACACGTGATTGAAAGCCCGCTTCTATAAAACCCTGCCACTACATACTATTTTTTTACTATTTGATATCTAGACTGCACACGAGACAGAACGATGCCTTCTGCCATTAGAACTCGCCCTTGCTCTACAGCTTGTGAACTCATTTGTATGCTTTACGATTTGAGAACAGAAGCGAACGCAGGAGATTTAGACTATAACTTAAATAACATGAAATAATTGGCAGAAATACGAGAAGCTCCTACACTAGAGATCAAACAAGCTCAAACTGAAGTGTTTGACGCCTTCTCAAACTACCTTAAAGTGATTAAAGCTTCAACTAAACCGCTCGCTGTGACCAAAGACTTGGAGGAGTACCCTGTATGTGCCTGTGTGGCTTTGGACGAAATCATGTCTGCCGTAGATGAACGTGCCAAGGCCAATCATATGGAAAAAATCAAAACATGCATCAATCACTACGTCTTGGAGGCACCCAGCGACGCCTGTGCAGACCAGAAAAAATTCAATAAAGTCTACAACGGTGTGATGTTAGCTTCCTTGGATTTTATCTGCTATCGTGAATATAGACCTCCCCCCAGAGATAGGTCTGACTACAGCACTTCTTATGAAGAACCAGACCGATGATTGACATTTCCATTGTTACATAAAACTCTACATGGGAACAGACTGCTAGCTTTCACTCATTTCAACCATGAACCTAGAACTACGCGAGAACCCTCAATGGGCTGGGGTGGCTTTAGACGATTTATTAGAGGTGGCGTTCGACAAGGCTGACTGTGATGACTTTTGTGGAATCGAAGGCGATTTGACTTCCTACATCAAAACCATGGAAGGTTTCGTAAAGAATACCACCCATGACTTGAGCCTCAATGTGCTTAGTGATTTTTTGGTCGACACGCAACACTGTAATCAGCTATACAGACAACGCTTCACAGATGAACAAGACAGCGACGATGAAGTGTTTGTAACACCCAATAAGACGGAGGACATTAAGGAACAAAAGGAAACCACGGAACTTTTTCCAGAACATTTGATAGCCATTGTGAACTCGTAAAACCATGGTATGTAGACACGTGGCGTGACAATAAAATTCGTTTTGTTATTACATATATTCTTTTGTTTTGCTGTGACACTTGCCCCTGCGCCCTGTTTTCCCCTCTTATACCACATGCGTAAAATGAGCATTTAGGATTCTTATAAATACAACTTCTGCTTACAGTCATAGTCGGTTAGATTACAATATCTAACCCGCGATACCCAATCGTGTACTATATGGTCCATTCTCTTTTATCTCATTAATCCCGCCGGCATCTTGGATTCTTTTGTTTCCTTTGTTTGAGACGTCACCTTGAAAACCGTTATGTTTTTAAATAGATGCAAAAACCCAGCACATGAACCTAGCGGTATGAATACTAATTTCTAGCCCTAGCCTCTTTTTTTTTTTCCTACCGCCTATACCTACGTGGTATGAATACTAATTTCTAACCCTACACCCACCCCTCCCTCTTCTTTTCTTAACCCTAACCCTAACCCCAACCTCTTACACCTACGTAGTATGAATATGAATGAACCCTCGTATACCTAGGTAGCATGAATTAATTAGCCTCATCCGAGTGACTCGAACCCAGACCTCTACGGGACGGCCAGTCAGACGCCCTAAACTACTAACGCGGTGTCAAACGAATGTGATGATGTATAATTTGGACAAAGTAGCGCCATGCATAGAGCAAAAGTGTGACGAATCAGCGTTGTCTGCAAAACGAAATGATGTCGCAAAAGAAGTAAAATATGCAAAAGAATTCAGATCTCATCATGCGGTGTTTGTTAATCGTTGTGATATTAACAGTGGTGAGTACCATGTGCGAAGATGGTTCGATCGTGAGCATAGCAGAATGCCATTAAAAAAACTAGAAAAGCTTTCATGTAAAAACAAATAAATAAAGAAACTGATGTGCGGGCAATTCTTAAAACATTCCTATCTCATCAAAAATGTATTGCTACATCAAATGCAGAGTTAGAAAAAGCAGCAGTAATGACAGTATTAAGTTTGTATAAAAGATGAGAAAGAAATGGCATTCTAAACAGTCAACACTGAATCGAAAATTGTTGAGTCGTAAAGACTCTGAGCAAATATCTATCTTTGTATAGCTGTAATACATTAACAAGTGTGTGCAGGAATGCAAGCCACAGAGGTCATTGTGCTACACTGTATGCAAATGAGTGCAATGACATTGAAACAAATTGTAGATCTCCTATGCATGGTATTGATCCTATTCTAACAATCAAGGCACCGTATAGTCAAGGTGATATTATGTACTTTGATGAAAATTCTGGAAAACAATGTGTTGTTATGAGATTGATTGATCTGATTTATAATAAGATAATAGGAGTACATACCTGGTACAAATTTTGGAGATGGGTAATCAATTGTATTCAACACTGTCATGATGTACAGGGCAGTTGTATTTAAAGCAGACAGAAATACTGTCAATGATTGTTTTGTTTGAGGAAAATCACCAGCTTAAGTAAAGTGAAAGCTACACTGGTAATCCACATTATTGTGATTGAATAATTGAGGAACATTAGTACAGTATGTCTACAGAAAGGGCTTTTGAATCACTCATGTCCAAAAATCACTTTTCATTTATTCTGACAATAGAATGTAAACAGTGCCAGTATCTATTGTACTGATAATGGGAGTTATAAGATATTTGATTCTCATACAAGAGACAAATATGGTAGAAGGCATCCCTCAGGTACATGTGTATTATTAGAAGTACCATCTATTCAGGGCTTAGTACAGTATTTCCAGATTATAGACTCCCTCAATGACAATCATGAACTCAGAGGAGTGAAAATAAGTACGTATGAAATAACTGCAGTGAACAGTTTGAGAGAGTAACACAACTGCTCTTGTAAACAATGCTCTGCGGTAGGGGCTTATGCAATGTGTTACAGCAGCAAAGTCTTGTAGCTATTAGAAGTCCATAACCCTATGTTGCATAGCTGACTGAGGAAATAATTTATATAGTAACATGGGCATCAACAGGCATCTAAAAGGGGCAGATTTATACACGAGTCTTAATATTTGTGGAGCTGAGATATCAGTCCAAATTAAGGCTCATAGCTATGGGATGTTGTCCAGTGGTTTAAGCAATACAAAAAAGAAAGTTGGAAAACTTAATTTTCAACAA